CATATATATATATATATATATATATAATGAAGTACATATATTTATATTAAATATAAAATAAATATATAACATTAATATAAAAATAAATACATTTCTAAATTTTATATATATACATACATGCATGATTAGCTAAAAGAAAAATAAATATATTTAAATGAAATATTAAAGATGTAAAGTTATAATAAGAATATGTATATATATATACAAACACACACACACACACACAAATAAATAAATAACTTAAAATGAATATATATATCTCTGTATATTAAATAACTATGAAATAAATATATTAAATAAACATACCCATAGACTTTAAATCAAGAGTGCAAGTTTATGCATCAAACACTGCTATTAATAGCTGCAGCAGCTGTGGAGCGTGAGCAGGTAATAGGAAAGTTAAGTGTGAGTTGAAAGTTAAGTGAAAGTTACTGAGGTGTGAATGCATGCTCTCCTGTCTTTCAGATGGAGTTGGACCGCTCGGCTGATCCGCATTCGGCCATCTGGGTTTCCACCACAAAGTCCACGGTTAATAAGTGGGTAAGTGCAGCTGGTCCAGCCGCCGTGACGTTACACACACATCCTACAGCCGAGCTTTAAATAATCTGCAGCGTGTTCCTTTACTCATTAATTAGTGTCACCCTTCGGCTAAATATCCCGGGATGGGGCGCAGTGCTACTATCTTTAGGTAACGGTTTAATTTGTTGCATGTTATAGGTTGCATATTAAAATGGTAGAATGCTTCTGTTAGTTATGTAATTCACACTTTTCATCTGAAACTGGAGCTGTGGGCAGACACAAAGAATATTTTCACAATTGCATTCACTGAATAATTATTAGATATGATGCATTAATACTAATTTGATCCTGTCAGAGTTTGACTGAGAAGCCTGTAATTTAAACGAGTTGATGGTGCAGCACATGCAAAGCATGCAATGACTGTGGCAACTTTAACATTTGAAAGGATACTATGACAAAGGTATCGCTTTCTTTATTCAAACTGATTTTTTTTCCCATGAATATATGGTTGACCTGAAGAATGAACGTTATATCATACACTTGGAAAATTATGAGCTATATCACCCCTTATCGACTCTAGGGGTGTGACAACACACTTAGCTCGCGAGATGAGACAAAATACAGATACTTGGTTCACTAGAACGAGACAATATTTTAATACTATTTTTAAGAAAT